GGATTGAGTCCCGCATCGGGCTCCCTGCTCAGCGGGGAGTCTGCTTCTCCCTCTGACCCTCCCCACTCTCATGTACTCTCTCTCATTCTCTCTCTCTCAAATAAATAAATAAAATCTTTTAAAAAAAAATAGTCTAAGCAATTTGCATCTGAAAAGAAATGTCTCCCTTTGGTGTCACTTCAGGTCCCTAAACCTTTCTCTGGCCCAATAAGACTGCATTCCTCCAATCCTAATTTGTCAACGTTAGATTTTGGAGAAGAGAAAAATTACTCTGATGGCTCTGAAACCTCGTCGGAGTTTTCTAAAATGCAAGAAGACCTGTGTCATATTGCCCATAAAGGTAAATGAGTTTTCTTTCTTCCTGATGTGTTTGATGAAAATGTCAGGTGCATGTCTGGGTATGGGATGCCCTTGGAGCGGGCATCTTAGTTGGTTCATTTTCTGCTCTATTAGGATTTGGGGCAATCTAATTTTTATTTTATTTCCCTGGTAGTAGGGAGGATATTGACAAGAAGTTTCTTCTTTAAGCCCTTAGGGGAGATGGTGAGAGCATTAGGTATTCTTTAACTCACATGCTGCTGGTGGCGGGATAGATTGGTGCTTTTCTGGAGAGCAGTATGATGTTATGTTTTGAGTTTAAAAAAAGAAATCTGCCTACCCAGCAATTCCACTTTGAAGAATTCGTTCGTAGAAATTAATTTAAAATTTATCCAAATAAAGATATCTCTTGCAGCATTGTTTATCACATCAAAAACTAGTCATAGATGTGCAACATCCTTAGCCATTAGGGAACTGCAAGTTAAAGCCAGGATGAGGTATTACTGTACCCCTATCATAGCTCCACAAAGATACAAGTGCTGGTGAGGACATGGAGAAACTGGGTCCCTCATATATTGCTGGTGGCAATTCAGGACAGTACAGGAACTCTGGACAATGGTTTGGCAGTTTTATAGAAAACCAAACATCACTTGCCACAGAACTCAACATTCGCATTCCTGGCCATTTATCCCAGAGAAATGTGAACCTGAGTCTACACAGAAACCTATACATACAATGTCAGAGCAGCTTTATTTGTATTAGCCAAAGATTGGAACAACCCAAATGTCTTTCAACAGGGGCATGATTAAACAAACTGTGGGACATCCCTACAATGGAGTACAGCTCAGCAATAAAAAGGAACAAATGCTCATATGCATAGCTGCTTCGGTGGATCTCAAGGACATTATGATGAGTGAAAATAGCCAGTTTCAAAAGGTTGCGTAGTGTATGATTCCACTTATTAATACTTTTGAAGTGATAAAATGATAGAAGCAGAGAAGAGATTAGTGGTTGCCAGGGCTCAGGGAAAGGGGAAAAATATGGGTGTGATTATGAAGCGGTAGCAAGAGGGATCTTGCTGGTAATGGGAAGTTCTGTATCCTGATTATGGTGGTGGTCCCATGAATCTACACATGTGATAAAATTGCAAATAAAATATATTTACACACATACACACAAATGAGAGCACATAAAACTGGTGACATCTGCAGGAGAGCTGTGGATTAGGCCAATGTCAGTTTCCTGGTTTTGATACTGTAGCATAGTTCTATAAGATGTTACCGCTGTGGGAAACTGGGTATAGGGTACCCGGGTCTTCTCTGTACTGTTTTTGCAACTTCCTGTGAATCTATAATGATTTCGAAATGGAAAGTTTTTGTTTTTTTTTTAAATGGACATAACCTAAATGCCCAACAATAGGGAAATTGGATTTTATATGCAATATAATTATGTGATAGAATAATCAACAGCACAATAATAAAAATATGGAGCACATAGCTATGAGGTCAGGTATTCACTAAGCACTTTATATGCACTGTTCCATTTCATTCTAGCAGCAACGTGTGGAGCAGATATTATTGTAATCTTCGTTGCACAGATAAGAAAGCTGAGGCTTGAAGAAGCTGAAGAGCTTCCTGAATAAGAAAGTGGTAGAAAGTGGCCCACCTGAGACTTGAATCCCAACCTGCCTGGCCCAGTCTGGTGTCTCACCACCCTTACGGAGGGGATGGCCAGGGCTACTTTTCTAGACACAGAAAGATGTTCACAACATACCATTGAGTAAAAATACAGGTCTCAAAACAATGTATAGGTATGATCCTGTCTGTTCAGAAAAAATAAACTATATAAATCTGGCAGATATAGGTGTACTAAAAAGTCTGGAAGGATCTACACCAGCATTTTAGTGATGGAAGCTAGAGTTGTAAGTGCTTATTATCTTCTTACTGCTTGTCTTTTTAAAAAATGTGGTATATTTATCATTTTTTTAAAAGGGCAAATGGGTTTAAAAGTTTTAAATGGGAGGGCAATGGGGTGCCTCAGTGGCTTAGTCGGTTAAGTGGCAGACTCTTGATTTCGGCTCAGGTCATGATTTCGGGATCATGAGATCGAGCCCCGCGCCGGGCTCCAAGTTGGGTGTGGAGCCTGCTTAAAACTTTCCCTCTCCCTCTGCCGCTCCCCTCCTTAGAAATTTTTTTAAAAATGGGAGGGCAATGCTTGAAGTGAGAGGAAGGAAGATACTGGCTCTGCTGCTTTATTCTCCTGGCCCCGTGTTTTTCTCCCATGACATTATTGATTCTTTCAGCTCCCGTTTCCCTTACACCCCGCAAACATAAAACATGTTGGTTATGAGGAAACCATTTCATGTTCTTTACAAATCCCAACCTCAATCAAACTCGTGTTCTAGTTGCTGTCAGAACTTTGTCAGTGTTTGCAATGCGGTTGTAGGATGAGTCTGTAAGAGGGGAAGGATTACCTGCCCCGCCCAAAGCTCTTCACGCAGGCCCTTGTGTGTTCTCTAGTACTAAAGGATCGGTTGCAATCAGGGCATTGCATTTTAGGCTTTGTGGGAGGAAATCCCTGAAAAAAGAGCACAACTTTTTAATAACACGAGCTGTCGGGGCACCTGGGTGGCCCAGTCAGTTAAGCGTCTGACTCTTGGTGTCGGCTCAGGTGGTGAGGCTGCGTTGGGCTTGCACTCGGCGTGGAGTCTGCTGGAGATTCTCTCTCCCTCTGCCCCTCCCGCTCATGCTCTCTCTCGCTCAAATAAATGAATAGATCTTTAAAAAAAAACAAAAACAAAAACCCACGAATTGTCTTTTTACGAATGAGAAGCTAATGCATCCCCGCAGCAGGGCTGTCCTGAATTTTGTCACTGAAGAAGCTGCTCCCTCAGCAGAGAGAGAGAGGTTGCCGTGCGGAGTCAGGCCACGGATACCGTCCTCCCGCAGAGGGCTCAGCCTTGTGGCCCGTCTGAAATGGGCTGCGGCCAGCTGTTTTGCCTTTCAGGCTTTGTTACACCAAGCTGGCTGCAGAGACTGCCACATGCCTAGACAGGGTCTCGATTTGTGCTCCGAGAAAGGTCTGGGTGCACTTATTCAACAACAACAGCTTTTGCCCCGTGGGCTTAGGGCCTCGAATCCCACAGGGAGCCTAACCGGCTGTGTTTCACTGCTGTGGATTTCAAGTACATACACTCGCGCAGACTGACGGATCTCTGGGAGTCCCTTTCACACAGGCTGTGACTCAGAGGCCTCGTGGAATGGAGACACTTCCCAGGTTTGTCCTCAGGCCTGCGAGCTTGCGCACTTTCTCACTTCCATACAGTCAAACTCAAAGCATCTTGACCTTTCCTTTCTTCCCGTGTGGGCCTGATCTGGTCACGGACCGTTTGTATGGTACTTTCTTGACTGTATGACTAATCTGTCGACTATGATTCCAGGGCAGATGAACTAAATGTAGGAATTCCACTGATGTTGTAACATAGTCTGTGTTACCTCCTTTTTCTTTAATTTGTTAAATGCATCTCAATGCTCTCTGTTTTGTAGAAGATTAGATCAAAGGGTGGATAACCAATATATACCCATCATAGGTGAAAAAATCCTTCTTATATATTATAAATGGAATTTGATTTTTATGGCATATCATTGAAATAATTTTCATTGGTTCGTGTGTCTGGCTTTGAGCATATGTTGACACACATACAAGTAAGCAGAGAACAAAATGTACCAAAACTTAAAAGCCATTAAGGAATTTACATTGCATATATTAACTTTTACATTTCTCCCAATATATTCACGGAACACTTTGCCCATAAAATGCTTTTAAAAACAAAAGAATTCCATGGTTAAAAATGTTTGGAAAACACTGCTGACTATGGTCCCCTTTGAACTTACACAAGAATAGTAAATATTAAAGGCCCTGAGAAGTCCTGCAGCAGAGAAGTCTGTTAGTTTTGTTTAAGTCAGTGATTTTCAATGTATTTGGAAATCTTTCCCTCACTTCCCCAGTAGCTGTTGACACCCAGGAACTAAAGTTCTTGAGAAACATAATGCAGGAAACACAGTAAATAATAAGCCTTTATGGAGCTAACCCTCTATACCATCTGAGTCAGAAGATAGGCATTCATTCTAAGCCACTCTGTTATGACTAGCTGTGGAATTTTTATCTCAGCCAGTTAACTTCTCTGGGCCTCAGTTGCCTCATCTGTTAAATGGCCTAAAGTAGTTCTCCTGACTTTTGGGTCTCAAATTCTGTAACTATTTTCTATGATTGGTTATTTTGTTCTGAATAGAATTCATGCTGTTGCTTACTGTTACAAGAAGGTTTTATGAGACAGTGTTCTATTCTTAGCTGAATAGAAATGACTGAATATGGTGAGCAGTTGTAGGATAGGAGAGCAAGGGCTAGGATAGGACCAGGGTCCTCTGGAAGTGGGGCATTTATGTTCTACTTTGGAAAGAAAACAAGGTTAGGTTTAATGATACTTTCCTAAAGGTATTTTCAGAGAGGGAAAGCCTCATTTACAAATGAAAAGATTAAAAGTAGAACAAAATTAAACTGTATTCCATTATTTAGCATTCTTTTGTTTTTGATTCTTTTCCTGTGTTGAGTCTTAATTGTTGAAGGATCATTTTCTGAACTGTTTTGAGTTTCTGGAAGCATTGGATAAAAAACCAAGCATGTCACGGTGCCATCATTTTCATAGATTAAAAGCTAGAAGATATACAGAATTTAAAGAAAAGCCAGATCATTTATCAAGCATAATTTAGAATTCAGCATAAGAATAGGCTGAGCACTTGCATTTATGTAAATTATCTGGAAATAAGTAGGACCATTTAATCAAATTACCTAATATATCTAAGTGAAAGAACCATTTGGATAGAGTATCAGAAAGTGTTTTAAAACCATGGATATCTTGTGAGGTTTGAAAATTAGAGGAAGCAGATTACAGAAGATCAAAGCACCCGAGATATTTTAGGTGTGTTATCATTTCAAAGAAAATTCACCAAAATATGCTTTTCA